AAACCATTGCATCTGATTTGCCAATGAATCGAGGCCTTCAGCTCTACATGGAGTGGATGTAGTTCTTGCAAAACAAATATGAACAAAATAGCAATAAAATTTTAAATTGAGTTAAAATCGTCATATGTTAAGTGCAAAACTAGATTTTAAATAGAAGAAGGTCACAAGAAGAAGGGAGATAAGTACTCAGCAGTATTTATGGGTTGGTGGTAGATGGTAGAAAATGAATATTTGTTGGTACACTCCTTCCACACCCTTCAGCAACTCTGATAAAACCATAGTGTATCAGTAATAGTAGGAAAAAAAAACAGGGGGGGGGGGACCAAAACCACTATTGCTGATTTGTCTATTTGCAAAAATAATCAAAGTAAAATTTGGGTAAGATCCAATGATCTTAAAGGGAAAAAAAATGACTATAACAAAGACAGGAATAAATCTCACTCTGAAACATTCTTGTTCTGATGAGGCTTGCTTTTGGAGAGAACAACATGGAGTTTAGAGATGACAGAAAAATTACTTTCTTCATTTGCCATTATAGATCCCTTGGAATGATATGTTTTTGCGGTCTTCAGCTTTCGTCAGTGGCTGGACCCGCATCGTTTCTTGGACAGCAGACTCCACGTCTCTCGGACCTCTGGTATTCAGCCAAAGCTTGGAAACGGGAATGTCACTGACGAAAACCCGAGCACTAGAGCCTGGACATGGCATCAGCAAAACGCAAGAGAGACAAACCCTAGTCAGAAATCTCGCTACAATACAAGCTTGCAGTGATTTTCTGACAAGCTCAATGACTCAAAAAACAAAAGAGATCTCAAATCATGGCTTTACTAAAACAAGAGTTGATAGCAAAGTTTACAAAAAAAGTGCCACCTGCACAAAAAAAAATAAAATGAAAAATAGCAAACAAAGAAAAGCAGATTAGAATGCTTACCCTGCTTTTTCTGTGCAAGGAGGTCATGATAGAAAATGGTGGTTTAGCCATTAGCCAGTAACTTTTGGAGACTTGTTAGAATCTCTCTTTGCACAGCTTTTATGCAGGAGAGGTCCTTCTTCAGCTTAACCACTCGTTTATGAAGATTCATATTTTTTGCCTGCAAATCCATATTTTTTACTTCAAAGAGGTCAATTTTTGCTTGAAGGATATTGACTTGCTCCTGTAGCCTCTTATTGTTGGCTTTCAGCCGGATATTTTCAAGCACTTGTCCCTGCCATTTCTTTCTCCCCTTGTCAATCTGACAACTCAGTCTCACCTATGTGCTTTGTTGAGTTGCAATTACTTTATAAAATAAAATCCATGAGAAAAACTGTTTAGAAAAAACACAAAAGAGAAGAAATACCTTTCCAAGTTTTCTTTTTGGTCTGCTAATTCCACTGCAATATACTCTATTGCTGTAGCATGCTGAGTTGTTGCGTCATGGAAGCAATCCTTCCTTAAGAAAATTTCCCTGAGCATAACAAAGATTTCTGAGAAAAATTTCTGAAACAATAAAGAATCCTTACTTGTTTTCTTTATCCTCAGGGAGGATGTGAAGAGACTCCTCCCCAGAATAAACATTAAACACCGTCCCTCCAACTAGCTTGATGTCTTGCTCGCTCTGTAGCATCTCCTCAAGGGAGTGTTGCTCCACCGCATGATATGTGCTCTGGTAAACTCCGACCATCGCTATCGCCACAAATCACCACAAACCAAGAACCCTAAATATCAAAAAGGGAAATACCCTTAAAGGGCTACCAAGAGATTAGCTGCCAAGATAAAGTAGCAACAAGAATAAAGAGCTCCTTAACTACATGATGTTCTGGAGGTGGTGTCTTGCTTCTAAAGACTTGGGTGTTTCCCAATTGCTATTTCTCATCACTTGCCCAAGCCTGTAGAGTTTGAGCAAGGAGAGCCAAACCAAGTAGTGTCGTTGCAGGGAGCTTTCTTCCCCACCAGACCTTGATGAGGAAGCTTAGGGTGAGTACCAATCATCTCCACGACCAGCCCCTCCTCCACCCATCTCAGTTTCTACTCCTGGCAGATCAGGAGGTGGACCACCACCACCCCACCACCACTGCCGATTCCTCCTCTGTCAGGAAGGCATTTTACATGCATGAGGTATCCTTCTTTTTCACCCATCATGGGCCATGATGTGGATGCACATCTCAATTCCTTTGAGACTGTTGGCATTGCCAACCAAGAAGCTGATGAAACCAATTGTCTTCATTCCCTGCTACACTCCAAGATGCTGCTCTTCTCCAAGCACAACATTCTGCCCCCACCAGTATCATGACTTAGGATCTGCTTCACTCAGCTTTTCTTGCTGCTTTCCAACTTGTGGGATTCACACAGCAAGTTAGTGGGGAACTTAACTACATTCGATTGCTACCAAATGAAAGCTTACAAAGTTTCATCATCTGGTTTTAGTGACTAGTCACTAAAAAGCACCCTCCTCCCAGTGAAGAGGATCAGGTTCGCTTCTTCACAAATGGCCTGCCTCCTGAATTGGCTTTCTTAAAGAAGAGCTAGACTCCCACAACACTCACTAAGGCTATTTCCACAGCTTCCAGTTGGGAGCAAGCTGGCCTGAGCATGGCTTGCTTCCAGCAGCCTTTCTACTCCATTCGTTTAGTGCTTGGCAGTCCTCTAGTGATCCCACCAATCTTTCCATCCCTACAAACATTAGCAATGTCACAAGCATATCCTTTACTCACTGATCTAATGAGCTTACTTGGGCATTTGCTGGGATAATGTCCATATCCCTTGCAATGAGTACACCACGGTCAGTAGCATGCTGAGGTGGTGTTTCGACTCATCGAATCTAGTTAAACTAAACTTTGGACATTTTCTTGGCAAGTGTTTCCAAGTCATCACATACTTTAGAGATATTTTGCAATTGTGGCAGAGTTGAAGAGGAAGTCACTACGGCAGGAAGTACATGCTACTGGAGGTAGTTGTAATCAACAATTCCAGGTACCAGCTATATCCTTCATTTATTAATCCTAGAACCATCAATTACAGCAGCATGTACTTCTTACCATGGTGACTTCCTCTTCAACTCTACCATAGTTGCAAGAAATCTCCAAAGTATGTGATGACTTGGAAATACTTGCTAAGAAAATGTCCAAACTTTAACTTAACTAGATTTGAGGAGTCCAGACATTACCTCAACCTATTACTGACCGTGAGAACATCTGGTGAACTTGTTGTAAGGGATATGGACATTATCCCAGCGAATGCCCAAGTCCTGCACCAGCTCAAGTTAAGTGCCAGCACTGCAGACAAAACAATCACATATCAGAGCACTGCATATATAAACCTGGTACCTCATCTCAGCCAGCTTCTTGCATGCCTACTGGTCCCAGCTACCATGTCTAGCCCCAACTCCTTCAAGATCCATCACCACCCCTGGTTCTACAAGGTTATTCGCCAGATCTAGTACCCATTTATGCAAATGTCCAATCATCTGCTTTCGTTGCCAACAGCCTGGCCTCATTGCTCTTGAGTGTCCGAATGCACAAGCACCAGTCAAGTACCAGCCCATCTGCAGCATCTGTAACATGTAAGGCCTCCATACCCAAGACAACTACCCTCACGATCTTCATTGCGATCCAGGCAGCCAAAGTGATCCTCCATGGCATTCCCTTGCTCCAAGAAATAGTCCAATGATTGACACACAAACACTAGTTGTCCAGCTCTGCTATGGCAATTCCTGCCCTGGCCATGGCCCATGCAGCTGAGCAACAGTGCCCAATTCTTCTCTATGGCACTTATATGCCAAACACGGCATCCAGCTCCAACACCACAGCCCACCCATGACCAGGAATTCCAGGTTCCAAGCACTTACCCTAAAACAGCTAGATGCAGTTTGAAACACATGCCATCACGATGCCCACCCTCAACGCCACTGCCCTGTTTTGAGGCAATCCCTGCATCAGCAGTAAGCACTCAAGCCATTTTGGCCACTTGCATTTCTCTCCATTCCTCCCTACACATTCTCTAGCACTAAGTTCCTCCTGCTTTGCCATCCACATTGGTGGCCACTTCTGTGAGCCCTAAAGTGGCAGGAGCCACCTTTCCTTGGGACTTGAGGCATTGTCCTTGTTATCACTTCCTGCTGTAAGTACTCCTCTAGCTTCTTCAGAGCAGGATGACTTGCCTTTACCCTTCCACAATGCAGCTTTGGACAGCAAGCCATTTTCCAGCATGCTTAATCCAATTGCACGAGAGGGTGATAACTGGGATTTAGAAGTAGTGAAGAAAGCCTTAATTGAAAATGCTCTTCAACACTTTAAAATAAAGTTGCTTTCTGCCAACCATGGGAAAGTAAAACAGGATAGGTCTCTTGAAGAGACACTAAGAAAGTAATTTTCATCTTCTCTCATGGCCTATCATCCAGCTCAACAAGCTGATGCAATCAAATATGCTCCTCTTTTGAACTTTAAAAAATTTGCTTCTCAAGAGCAAGAGTTTCTTTGTGAGAGCCAACCAATGCAAAGGCCAAGCATTCTTGCATCTCCAGCTTTCAACACTTTGTT